CAAGCAGTGACGCGGCGGGTGAGTCAGCGCTCCCCCCTCCGCACGGTAACGTAACGCGCGACGCGCGGTGATGCAACAGGATGACGTGGCACGCAACAGGCAAGCACTGCGGCTATATAAGGGAACTGCACAGCAGCTACGAGCGAGTTATAATGTGGCCATCGCCGAAGACAGTTCCGAGCTAGTTCCGAGCAAGCCTATGAGCAAGTGTGTTATCAACAGTTCTCCAGTCAGCCGACTATAGTTGGAGTATAGCAGCCGTCGCGATAAGAAGAACCGGACGTGTGTGTAATTGTGTAATTGGGAGTGTGTGATACAGTGATACACATCTCCCCTACTGTAAACATGTAGACCACTGAAGACAGAGTGAACTGATTTGCGCATAGGGTTATAAAGTGTGAAACCCCGCAACTGTGTTATAATTAATTGTAGCCATTACTAGTAGGTTGTTAAATAAACCAATTAACGATCTCTACGGCGTATTCAGTAACGAAACATGTTACAATACTAAATAAGCAAGAAATCACCTATGTGAGATAAAAGGATATATTTAGCCACATACATGAGACCTTACATAAATGGTCATGCATACTATCTCTGCCATAGTCCATAAAACTAGAGCCCAACTTAAAACTAATGCTGAAACCACTGAGCCAAGTTCAGAAAAGGACAACTATGTACATTATAACTTATAAGATTTTTTTTTTGTGTAATCTATTGACCTCTGAAAGCTTCGATAAGGCAACAACAGAATAGAAACTCAACAAGTGCAGAGGATTAAAATTCAAGTAGGTAAAATTTCCTGCATACCAGCATGACCCTTATAATAATTAAACCACTACCAATAATTATTAAATAAAAACACTACTACATGGAGTCCAGATTAAAGGTATCCAAAATAAAAATGTATATCTCAGAAAATAACTGTCATACAGGTATCCGGTTTGTCTTCGGAAAGGAAAACTCTGAAAGTCTTTTTCTCATGCCTGGCTTATGTGCATACACCAGCTGGTCACCTTTGGCAAGCTCAGTAACAATACTGACACTACAGGAACATGTTCAATGCATGCTGTGGCTACCTAAGTTGCAATCTCTTACGGCTGTCCAGCATCATTCTAGAATGCAATATTGACTTCAACCTCCTACCCAGAAAAGCATTTGGATCTGGGACAACAAATTGAGAACTACAGGTAGTCTTCTGCATGTAAAATCTCTTGGGAGGCCATGCAACTCTGAAGAAATATGTCAATGCATTAGAGAGGTATTCAAGCGAAGTCCACACAAATCAATTCATGCTGCTAGCTTGCAGTTACATACAAATTCCACATTCAACAGTGCACAATGTGCTATACAAAAGGTTCCCCCTAAGAGCATGAAAGATCTATATGATTCATGCACTAAAACTGTGTGACCAAGTAGCATGCATAAACTTTGCGGTGGACATGCTAGAAAGAATTGACACATCATGCGATTTCCTCCGCCAAGTGTGCTTCTTGGATGAAATGTTCCATGTCAGTGGGGTTGCAAACAGGTACAACTACAGGAATTGGGGCAGTCATAATCCACATGTCACATGCAAGTTGAAGAGAGGCAGCTCCAAAGTGAACTTGCAAGCTGACTGGACCATTTTTCTTTTTGAAAAAACTGTGACCGGACATTTGTATTTAGACATGCTGAAGCTGTATGTGCTACCACAATTACCACCTCAAACTACCCTCCGAGATGGGGAGCCGCCACATTTCTGCCACCATGACAGGAATCACCTGGCCAGAGAGATGCATCAGCAGGGGTGAACCAATTGCTTTGCCTCCTAAGTCACCAGATTTAACCCCAATGGATTTTTTCTTGTGGGGTTATGTGAAGAACTTTGTCTACTGGGTTAAGATCAACAACCTTCAACACCTGAAAGCCTACATAAGGGATGGTGTGGCTACAGTAACACCAAACATGCTTCAAGCAATGTGTAACAAGGTTAAATGTCATTTGGACATTTGTCATGCCAAAACGGGAGCCCACATTGAAATTTAATGGGAAAGTATTATACTCAGAAAAATACTTAACTGTGTAACCCATGAATGTGTACAATAAATGCTTTCTAAGATACAATTATTTGATTTTAGATACCCTTCATCCAGACACCATGTACGAGGGTCGTACTGAAAGTCATGAGCAACAATTTTTTGTAAAGTATCATGCTTTATTATTGACAAACCAAATACACCACCTCAATCTACAGACCTTTCTTTATTTTTCCACATAATCGCCACTTCTTTGTACACATTTCTCCCAGCGTTCTGGGAGTTTGAAAATTCCCCTTCTGTTCCAGCCATCCGAAGACACTGACGCACTGCTTTCTGAATTGCCTCCCTTGTCTCAAAACGTTGTCCACGCACCTGATCCTTCACAAATCCGAAAAGATGGTAGTCAGAGGGTGCCAGATCAGGGCTGTAGGAGGGGTGTGGAAGAAATTCCCAACCGCGGGACCCAACGAGCACAAACTTTCCTATAGCCCAAGCTTTCAATCATTTCCTGTACTGCACTGTGCCCTATTCCAAGTTTTCGGGCTATTGTGTCCACAGTCACATGCCTGTCATCTTGAATGATCCCATCCACTCTTTCCTTGTTGTGTTCAGTTGAGGCTGTTCGAGGACGACCACTCCGAGGCTCATCTTCGATGCTGTTGTTCCCATCTTTAAAATGTTTCACCCATCTTCGAACACGGTTCGCGCCCATGCACACAGTTCCATAAGCACGCTGAAGTCTCTGGTGAATTTCTGCAGCAGGGATTTCCTCTTTCACAAGAAATCTGATGACAGCACAGTGGCGAAACGACATATCGCTGTCGGCCATTTTGTTAGGAGTGATACTGGTCATGTGATGCAAGCTATTCATGTCACAAGACACTCAAGGTTAACACAACAGCTGGTTCCACCTACACCGTACTCTATTTCATCTGCTGTTCCCAGGTTGCATGCAATAAATAGTTGCTCATGACTTTCAGTACGACCTACGTATAACACCGATGTAAACTCGTCCTGCAGAACCGAGAGTTGAAACATTCCCTTATAATTTTAAACTAGACAATTTTAAAAGTTCATCCCTAATTATGGGAACCCATATAAAAGAGATATTCAAGCCTGGCTCACTGACTGGATGATCAGACATGTGGGCTGATTCCTTGTATTTTCTGTAGATGTGGTGAGGTTCAATCAGTAAAACCTTAGCTTTTTGCACCATACTCTATAGCCCTCATCATATGCATGTTCAGCTTATTTTAATTTTTCCAGTAGATTTCAAGTCAGATTGCTCCTGTTTTCCTCAATGTATACTTTGAAAAGTCTACTTCACCGAGGCAACATCTGTCACAATCACACTCCCTCATCTACTGGGCATATCTAATAGGTCCAGTCTTCATCAGTATCCCACGGAGTGTATGTTTAGTTTTAAAAATGGCTGTAGCACTGAAGCAGTTCCCAATGCATCAGAATTATTTGAAAATATGGGATAATAACTGTGCCATGATATGTTCTATCTGAAGGATGGCTGCTTCTCCCTGACTTGATAATAAAGCATTGTGGGTATCCATTAAGCATCAGATGATGTTTTGTGTTCCTTAATTTCCAAGAAACATAATTTCAAATAAAATATTAAGACAACAGATAACCTCCCAAAAATTGATAACTGTATGTATTAAAGCATTATCATCAGAAAATTTCAGATTTTATTATGAATGCTTCATCAACTTCAGGGCATGTGGTATCAAATGTTACAAGAATACTCATGTTTGGTGAGCTGGAAGGGACACAATCTACAGTCTGACATTTGCCTTTATGAAATAAGAGAAGCAATTAAAACCCTTCAACACAGTCTATCATTGACCACGATTTAAAGACATAAATCCTGCATTCAAACGATATGTGACCAATCAGTCAGGGCTTCAAAAATAGCTTCTGCTCACTGCAGAGAAGGTAACAAACACAGTAGTGAGTATATTTTTAATTTTGTATTACAAAATAAAGAACTATATTTGATTTCAGGTTCTCACAGCAGTGACTAAGAAAGGTACTCTCTTCGGAATGTGATGTATAATGACTACACCATGTGACATCCCAGAAGACAGTACTCTTCAAAAGAGAACTATTCTTTGTCATTCTCTACTACATCACACAAAGCAAATTATATATGTAATTTATCATTTCTGTTTCATGGTCTTAACAAAATGTCGAGTTTCTACCGTCTCCTACAAAACTATGAATATGAAGCTACTACAGGTAAATGGATTCTGTTAAATGATGAACAGCTTTTAAGCTGCATTTCTGGAATCCTGAATTCTGGCTGATAAAGATGAATAAATAGAATGGCACAATACATAGCGTGGGACAAACACAGTTTCTGTGCTAGTGGAGTTCTGACAGACTACACATATGCAAATAGCCCTGCTATGAAAGCTGTACTTACTGTGAGAAACTGCTGACTGTACCAGCGTAACGCAAGACTGCTTGCCTTCTGGAGCCACAGCTGCAGATGATAAAAACACAATGAAATACATAAATCTAATTCCTGCATATATTAAATGAACATCTGAAGAACCTGAAAAAAAAAGTGACAGGGAAGCAGCCACCTGAGCAGGGTACATGATCACAAATTGCATAACCCCTCCATTTAATAAAAGAAACTTAGTAATTATTCCACTCAATAAGTGCAAATGATTAAAAAAATGATACCTGGTGCCTCTTTCAAACATCCAGTACAGAGAAAAAGAAAAACACTAATTATCTGTTTCAAATTTTAAACTGCTGTGTGCCTTCCAACTCAGGTGGCACGACTCACAATGCCTGCGCCCTTGCGCTCAAGCACACATGTGCACACACATTCATATTCAAGCATGCTCCACTTAAACCCCATAGCCAGGCATGTGGTGCTGAGTCCAGCAGCCAGAGTGCTAGTTCACTTGGAGAGGAAATAAAAAGGATATGTGCCATTCCCAATCTGCCTAACTTTTACATCTTCTCAACTGTACGACCCAAATCAAATTTTTTCACCAGTGACCAGAGAAATGGCTGTGGACTGGATGCCAGAGTTTGATTCCCAGCAGCTATAATGCAGACTGTTCTTCACCACTAAGTCTAGAATGACTCTGAGGCCTTCTCCCAGTCCCCCATCCAAGTTGGAGTGTGATGCTGACCATTAATTCTCAGGGTCCCATTATGTCTAGGCAAAGGGATGACTGCAACTCCATCTTTACACACCATCATGTTACTATAAGCTTACAAGAATAGGCAATGAGGAAATGATCTCAAATACAGAGTGGGACACAGAAACTTCCTTTTTGTGAAGACGCATTTTGAAGCGAGGGGAGGTCGCAGAAAAGTGGGGATAGGCTCGGCAAACGCAGCAGTCGCTGTGTCTAATACCCCTCAATAGGAAACATGAGGTGGACGAGTGAGCAGCGTGCGTTTGCTGTCGAAGCCTATTTTTCAAACAACCATTCCTATGTGGTGGTGCAGCATGCGTTCGGTACTCACTTTGGAATTAAGCCCAGAGGTCCGGTTCCCAACTGGAAATTGATTGTTTTGTGGATAGAGAACTTTAGGACAACTGGGAGTGTGGTGAAAAAATCATCAGGACAACAACAGACCGTTACAATGCCAGAAAATGTGGAGGCAGTTCGACAGTCAATTTTGAGATCTCCAAGATGATGCTCCGCTCGCAAACAGGCAGTCGCCCTAGAGATATGCAATTGTTCAATGCGCCGAATTCTTCACAAATATCTTCATTTCCATCCCTATAAGATGGTTGTGCAAGAATTGTCACCACGTAATTTCCAGAACCGAATAACGGCTTGCGAAACGTTATTGGAAACTTTACCCCCTGACACACTTGTTTTCTTCAGTGATGAGGCACATTTTCACCTATCCGTATATGTCAACAAGCAGAATATGCACTATTGGGGTGGTAACAATCCCAGAGAGCTCCATGAGAGGCCACTTCACAGCGATAAGGTGACAGTATGGTGTGTGCTGTCGAGAGTTGGAGTTATTGGCCCTTATTTTTTTGAAGAAGACAATTATGCAGTTACTGTCAATTCACAGCGGTATGTGGACATGATTAAAAACTTTTTCAAACCAGCACTTGAAGAAATGCATCTAGAAAATNCCAAATTCCGGTACATATGTTGGAACATGCAGAGGGGAACTTCAGAAAACGGTCGCATCAGTGCATAGAGAACGGTGGCCACCACCTTCAAGATATTTTGTTTAAAACTACATGATTTAAAACTTTAAAGTATGTTCTTTCATTAGCTAAACATAATTCTTGTCTATCAGCAATAATTTTTCTTTTATTCGCCTTCAAAAAAAGGAAGTTTCTGCGCCCCACTTCATGACACCTCAGAACTTGTGTGGAGAGAAGACATAGGATAACAATATCTGGGCAAAAATAAATGCTGTAATTTTATATTATATATACTACACGGTATTCGAAAAAGAATTCTGGGATTCTAAAAACCTATCATTCGAAAATGGTTAAACATATCAAAATGATTCAATTTTTAAAATATGATGAAAGAACATAAGTTCCATATATATTCAGATGGTGGGGAGTACGCAACATTGAGATGCTTTTGTCGGTTGACCAATTGATACAACTTGTGCGCAAGGCTGGCAGCCAGACTTCCCGAGCCCCACTAGTTTTACCTCCCAGTGCAAGTCAGTGTCAGGCAAGATGTGGACCATGCAACAGAAGGCTGAGTTTGTTTTATGGTACACAGAATTGAAATTGATTGTAACAGTGCAATGTAAGTGGTGAAGGTTACATGCAGGAGACAAAGTACCAGATGATAAGGCTCTGAATCACTGGTTGAAAACAGTTCAAAGAAATGGCAAGTGTTACAAAACAGAAATCTTCAGGTCAACCAGGAACATCAGAAGAGAATGGGGAGTGTATTAGATAGCCCTGTGTAAGAAGCCCTAAAAATCAACTGCTCATCACAGTTTAGAATTAGGGATTCCAAAAACTGTGATTCAAAACATTATTCACAAGTGTTAACACCTTGATGCCTACAAGATTCAGCATATATTGAAACATACTAATTATTGACAAACCAAATACACCACCTCAATCTACAGACCTTTCTTCATTTTTCCACATAATCGCCACTTCTTTGTACACATTTCTCCCAGCATTCTGGGCGTTTGAAAATTCCCCTTCTGTAAAATTCCATTCCAGCCATCCGAAGACACTGACGCACTGCTTCCTGAATTGCTTCCCTTGTCTCAAAACATTGTCCACACAGTTGAGCCTTCACAAATCCAAAAATATGGTAGTCGGAAGGTGCCAGATCAGGGCTATAGGAGGGGTGTGGAAGAACTTCCCACCCAATCTTTGCAATTGCTTCCAATGTGAGGCGAGTGGCATGGGGACGAGCGTTATCATGCAAGATGATGATGTTTCGTCCCGGACATTTATCACACAATGCATGATGGAGCTTGTGCAGCGTCTGGACATAACGAGCAGCATTGATGGTTTGCCCAGGTTCCAGGAATTCGGCCAGAATAAACCCCTCTGCATCCCAGAAGACTTGTCTGTGCCCATCATCTTCGCAGCTGATGGCACTGTCTTTGCCTTCTTTTTTTGATTGAGAATGCAAATGGTGCCATTCCATACCCTAACGTTTCGTTTCAGGCTCGAAATGGTGAAACCAGCTTTCGTCACCTGTCACAATACAGAGCAAAAAATCGTCACCTTCGTGTCAATATCTCTGCAGCAGTTCTGAGGTGATGGCTTTTCGCTGACCTTTGTGGTCTTCGGTCAATAACCGCGGGACCCAACGAGCACAAACTTTCCTGTAGCCCAAGCTTTCAATCATTTCCTGTACTGCACTGTGCCCTATTCCAAGTTTTCAGGCTATTGTGTCCACAGTCACACGCCTGTCACCTTAATGATCTCATCCACTCTTTCCTTGTTGCGTTCAGTTGAGGCTGTTTGACGACGACTGCTCTGAGGCTCATCTTCGATGCTGGTGTTCCCATCTTTAAAATGTTTCACCCATCTTCAAACACTGCTTGCACCCATGCACACACTTCCATAAGCACGCTGAAGTCTCTGGTGAATTTCTGCAGCAGGGATTTCCTCTTTCACAAGAAATTCAATGACAGCACACTGGTGAAACGACATATCATTGTAGGTCATTTTGTTAGGAGTGATACTGGTCACGTGATGCAAGCTATTGTCGTCACAAGACACTCAAGGTTAACACAACAGCTGGTTCCACCTACCACCGTCCACTCTTCCGTCTGCTGTTCCCAGGTTGCATGCAAAAAAAAAAAGTTGCTCATGACTTTCAGTACAACCTACGTACATTTGACATAAAAAATTTATCTGAAATGTCTAAGATTCAAAATTTTTATGGAAAGTACTTGTTAGTATTGCATTTGTATTTACGAAAAATGACAAATTTCATGAAGACTGATCTTGTCATAAGTGACCCAAATGCTGGGATTTTCTTACAAGCAGTATTACAGCACTGAGGACAGGCTGATCAGCTACAAGTCCTTCAAATTTCTATTGTAAAATGTGGTTATGGCAGGGGAAAGGATATTCACCAAATACAAAACACATAAATATATGTTATGTATACTTCCCTTCATCTTACACTTTTTTTGGAAGCACACACCATTTCCCTGACAATACTCTCCTCTTACATGTAATTTGTACTTGATAATAGCAGCAGGCCAAACAAATATCATTTCAACCAGCAATCAAATCTTAAGCAAACTGCATTAAAGTGCATAATACACAAATCTGAATAAGCAATGGACAGGAATAAAACTTCCAATATTTAATTCTGGAATAGTTCCTGTAGCCCCCCTTTAAGGAATTTTTAATACATTTCAATTCTGAGTGAACTAAATGTCATAAAAAGGGAGCAGTTAAGGAGAGGGATAAACATCCGCCCACCATTCCATACATTCATAAAGATGTGTCAGAACCAGTCGGGTTTTCCTCATTTTAAAATAACATCTCATATTATTTAGAAGATGAAATTAAAAGCTGAAATGTATGAACATCACAATTGTCATCAGCAACTCTGACATTTGTGTAATAATATTTAGGGCAGTCAAGAAGTTCCCAGAATTCCCCTGCAGACGGAGAACGAGCGATAAGATAGCGCACACTCTTGTGGTGGGGAGCTCAGCATGTCTGCTCGCAGGCGCAAGAGGTCTGGACAGGTTTCAGTGTGCAGTGTCATTACTGTTCCATTTGAATTAGACGTGAGTGTTGGTCATTCGGTGCAATGTCGCAGTTCGAACAGCGTGTGAACATCAAGTTCCTGTGAAAATTGGGAAAATCTGCTTCAGAGACGCAATCGGCCCTGCAGCATGTTTACGGTGATACTGTACTAAAGAAATCCGCAGTTTACGACTGGTTTTCCCAGTTTAAGAATGGGCAGGAGACGTTAGAGGATGACCAGCGCAGCGGGAGACCTTTGACACAAGGAACCAAAGAAATGATTGGAA